CTAATATCCTGCTTTGAAACTGTCTCATTGCTACTTCTTTCTCAATAAAATTAATACAAAATATAAAAAAACAAACAAAAATGAGTGTGGTTAGATAAGAAAGCATTCAGCGGGAATCAAGAGATTAAGGTAGTAAAGGTATTTATTTATTCGTGGTAAAACACAGGTCCTTCTGACTTCCCAGAAGGAGCTGGTGCAGGGAAGCCCAGAGTCAGTGCAGTCAGTGACTACAGAATGGGGCCCTTCTACACTTGTAGTACTTACTTGGTAAAGTTAACACAAGTGTGCCTCAATGGTCACTGGCCTTGGAGAAATTTGAGAAGAATGAGAAGACTTTAATATTTCCTTTAAGCTTGAAGATCAAATTTGGCTGCTCTAAAGTGAGGCCTAGAGAGCATTCCCATTTACTCTCACGTCATTTCTGACCTCTCTTTGTTCTCTAAGTTTTTCTAATGTGTATCCACATTAAATATGCACTAGCCTAACTGTCATCAGAATATCTATTATATACAGAGAGCATGCTATTTATGAGGCATAGCGACTTTTATACATTTATAGATTTATAGAAATATTAATTTATTTATAGAAATACTAATTTATTTAAGGTTGTATCATAAATGCATGGAGTCAGACTTGAGTCATGCTTAAACATCTTAGTCCTCTTTCAAAATTATTAAGTAAATTCATATCTAAATATTTCAGTTATTTATGTTCATAGTTTATCTTTTGATTCCATCCTTGCTTTTGAAATTATTCAGCTGTTTGTTCTATTTATGTCTGCACTCTCTTTTGACCAAATTGGGTATTTTATTGCCCGCTGCAAGCAGCATGTTTATTTCCTTGCCCTGGACCTACTATTTTTTCCTCTCTAATAGCTTTACTGTCAAGCCTAGTCACAGCAAAACATCTCTGAAAAAGTAGACCAGAAGAGGAGCCATCAGCACCTCTGCTCTCAAGATAGGCAGAAATGCAAAATACCTACAGCAGCTCATCTCCCAGGAAGAACTGCTTACCCAGTCATTTAATTTGTCTTAAGAGATTTGCAGCTGGCCCTGGAGGGTACACATTTGAAATCCCCACACCTGTAATTGGGAGGCTGAGACAAAAGGACCCCTGTGAATCAAGTTCAAAGCCACTCTTGGCTACACAGTAAATTCAAAGGCAACCTGAACTACATAGCAAAATGTTGTCTCAAAAACCAACTGACCAAACAAACAAACAAAAAAAGCATGTTTTAGTCTTATTTTTCTCAACAGAATAATAATTATTTGTAATTAACAGGCATGATCCAGGAAGATAGCTCAGTGGCATAAGTGTCTAAACAAAATGAAAAATTAAAAAGAGCTGATAATGTATCTCAATGCAGAGTTCCTGAGCTCAATCCCCAGTTATACATAAAAGGAACTATAGCTGCATACTAATAGAATGTTTAAATATCACTCAGTAATTTTGGGGAAAAAAGCAATACAGTACTATAATTTCATTAAATAAAATTCAAAAGTAAATAACATTGAACTATATTATAGGGTCCTGAGTTTGATTCCCAGTTCCAAAAAAGAAAGAGACAGAGAGAGAGAGAGAGAGAGAGAGAGAGAGACAGACAGACAGACAGACAGACAGACAGACAGACAGACAGACACACTGACAGACACACAGACACACAGACAGACACAGAGAGACAGAGAGAACTTGCACTTGTAGTTAAGAGGCAAAGATATGGGGTATCTGAGAGTCATGCTTGTGCAATTCTCAGGCTTGTAATCATGCAGCTTACTGAGGTGGACTTAAATGTGTCTTTTTTCCCAGAGCTATTTTAGTGGATGACTGATTCTGATTAGGATGTCTATATTATACATCCCCCTGGCAGTTGTGGTCCCTGAGGAGGGCAGCTGTCAAGTGTCTTATTGTCAAAAGCATAGTTGAGAAATCAAGTACCTTTATGTGAATTGCTCATTTAACTAATGTATATGGACAGTAACATACTTCTGCTATCACCTTCAATTTGAACTGTAAAAGCCAAGGGGATTGCTATGGATTATATCCGGGTGGCCCCTAAGGCCTCACACCCTCACAGGAGGGGCTTTGGGAAGGTGATTGGATAACGGACTGGACTGGTCCACTGATGAGTTTATAGCTGGGTGTGATGCTGGGAGGCCTGGTGGGAAGAGGTGGGTCACCATGGACATGGCCTGGAGATATATATCTCCCTCTTCCTCCCTTGATTGCTGCTGCTTCCTGCCTGTCTTGCCATGAGCTCTTTCTCTTCTGCCATTCTGCCTTGCCTGGAGCCAGCCAACTATAAGCTGAAACTTGTACAACTTGTAAGCCAAAATAAACCAGTCCTCTTTTAACTTGTGGGTGATGGGCACTTTGTCACAGCAATGAGAAAGTCACCACTCTCTTGAGCACAGTAATTAGGTAATTAAGTCAGGCACCATTGGTTCTAAAGATACTGGAGTTTTCCCCTTTAAGAATATTAAAAATATGCACATCACAACAAATTCTGGGTATGCTTCCCAGATGATCCCCATACTGTGAATGAAGCAGCCTCTCTGTCGCACATTGTGGCACCTGACAACTAGCCACTGAGCCTTCTCTAAAATTGCACTGCACTGAAGAGAGCTATCTTGGTGAAGAAAATTGCTTCATCAGAGGGCATACTTTTTTCTCTGAGGATTTTGAATCGAATGACAAATCAATGTGGAGAAATAAAGGCCCAGGACCCTGTGAGAGTTAGAAGTAGGTGGGAACAGAAATAAATGGGAGTGCTGGCCCAGGTCCAGCTTATAAACTACACACCAGATTCACTGAGATAGCAAGAGCTCATTTCTCTGGTCCTTGGATAAGTAATTGGAAGAGAATATTTGTAGTTGGCACAGACTCTGCATTGTGGATTTCTTGACTTGTAGGTGAAAAGCTAACAGTGATATAAAAGACCATACAGAAAGCTCTGCAACTGCCCAGCCCTAATGACAAAGGAGTTAGAAGTAGGAATGGCTCAACCTGCTCTTTGGAGAATTTTTCTTACTTTCCCTAAAACTCTGGGAACATCAAGTTTAGGAGCTCTAATTTCTGGTCAGAAAAAATTCATCTAGTAGAGAACACAAGAGTTCTTTCACAATTCGGTTCTCAGGGCCCAGAGACCTGGAGTGAACTGCCCTGACCTTCCAACAGCTAGAGCTGTTATTACCCAGTTGGGCAGGGAGAATGTGTTAGGCACCCAGGTACTGGCATTTCTTGATACACCCTTATCTGATTTTTACAACAAATGGAAGTCCAGTGTCCTAGTCTGAAAGGAGCAGTGACCTGTACAGTACTAAGTGTACGGGTCAAGGAGTCTAAGCCTCTGAGGAGCCTCCAGGAGCCTGGAGCCTGGAGCCACCTCCTGGGTTCTAGGGAGATTGAACACCAAGCCACCTCATCCAGCCCTGGTGAGTCACCACCCTCTCAAGCTCAGGCACCCTATCTGCTCTCAGCCAGTCCCCCTGTGCCCAGAATGCTGAGGTGCCATAAATGTTCTTTTTCCATAGATTCAGATGAACAGATATAAGGTTAAATTTTGCCTTAAAACATAGACTTTCTGTCTTACTCTTCTCTCATTGCTGGGACAAATACCAGACACTCAAAATGAAGGAAGGAAAGGTTTATTTAGCTCACAGTTACTGGAGGTTTCAGTCCATATTCAGCTGGTTCCAAGACAAAGTGGCACATGGCAGAGAACAACCTTTCAGGACAGAGGCAAAGAGCAAGAGAGCAAGGGAGGGGTAGCAGCAGCTCCAGCAGCTAGCTTCTCTTCCCTCCTTACATTGTAAGGCAAATTACTTGCCCCAGGGCAGATGCAGCATCCACATCCACAATAATCAACCACCAACTCCAGAAACTGCCCCATGACTGCATGAGGCTTTGGGGGGACACCTACACACAAACCATAACACTTTCATTCAGCAAAAATAGTTTGACTTCTGATAAATTTCTTTCTTTTTTTCTTTTTCAGTGTTTAAGAGAAGGTCTTAAATACACTGTCTAGGCCATGGTGGCCTCAAGCTCATAGCAATACCTGTCTCAATCTCCCAAGTGATTGTAGGTATGCTCCAAAATACCAGTCCATTAGCACCTACCTTTAATTTTTTCTGTTATATGGTACAGGGATTTGAACCTAGGCCCTTTGCATTGAGCTAAATTTCAGTCTATTTGCCATGTTTTGTTTTGAAGCAAATTCTCAGTCAGGTCTCCTGCTTCTCAGGCTGAGCTCAAATTTGTTATCCTCCTGCTTCACCATCCCAGACTGCTGGGATTACAGTGCTGTGTGACCACTCATGGCTTTTCATTTTTAGAAGGCTCTCAGTTGCCATTTTGCCTTAGCTAAAAAAAAAAATTATATCCCCAGCTATTATTTTTTAGGGATGTCATGGAAAGGTTCTCTCTAAGTCACCAGGTTGCCTTAGCTAGATACTAATTTCATTATATTCCAAGCATATATAAAATTTTTTTATCTTACAAAGTCCCCAAGTTTCTTGTGCCAGAATGGAATTTGTGATCATCTTGTCTCAGTCTTGTAGAGGCAGGAATAAAATCAATGCACCACCACAAATAATAAAAATAAAAATAAAAAAATAAAGGTACAGGTTATTCTTAAATGGTAGGTTTCAAATCAGTAAAGTAAGTGAGGGTGAAGGAAATCCAAAATGGATGGAAGAGGAGTATTTTTGGCGATCTTTAAGTCAGTGACTAGAGTAGGAGCTGTCGGTTTTTTTCATTAACTTTGCTCCCAACATTTTCTCCAGGAAAAATAAAGCCTATCCAAATCAGAGCAATGGCTCTCCAAAACTTGTGGGTCACATGAAGAGATGGATCCAAGCAGCAGTCCGCGTAGTGTACGCTGTATCCACATGGGCAGCGCCCATTCTCCCGACAGCTCTCTGTGAGTTTCTTTCTGAGAACCACTGAGAAACACAGATCCTGACCCAAAGTTATACTTCTTTCTTGAGGTCAGTTTACACCCAATAAAAGCTCCATGTGAGAGCCTTCTCCACCCCTTGCCTCAAATCAGGACAACCCTCATGGGGTCCCTGCCCCGCTCCAGTTTCCGTGGGATTGGCTAAAGTCATTGCTGATACTCCTGTGTAACTGAATTTTTCATTCTGCTTATTGTACTGCCTCTCAGGAGTTATCCGAAGAGCATTCTCCAGTGAAATTCCTGAACAGAAACCCCAAATTTCAGAGTCTGTTTCCTAAGGAAACTTGACCTGTGTCTGTTAGCCACTAACATTTCAAAGCAGGATTGAAAACACAAAAAATCAAAAATGGGTGAGAACCGAAATACAAAATGTTTAACTGTTTTAAAACTGCTAAAGATATGTCTTCATTGAAAAATATTCAAAATGACATAATGTAGATAATTATTGCTCTTTTTGAAGTAACTATTAATATCATGCTGTATATCTGCATTTATTTGCATACATTACATAAAGCTATATATACATATTTAAATATTAATTATGCTGTGTTTATATTTTATTATTTTTCACGCTATTATTATGAATTTTTCAGGTAAATATGAATTCATAAACCTAATTTTTCCCAAACAAAACAATATAGCTATCCATATGAAAAATATAATAATGCCACTAACAATTTTTATAATTAAATAATGCAAAAATATTTTACTTGTTTCAACATTCAACTACTTTTTTACTGGACGTGAACCCTATCCCAACTCTAAGAGAAACTTAATTTACCTTCACAGTGTGCTTAAGTGTTAAGAGTATGTCCAATCGCTCATCTTGAGAGATATTTTGCAGTTTGATGCATTTGTAGATGTTTTGCAACTCTCTGGCTCTGATTGTGAACTGTGTATCCATCTCAATTATTTTACCATCAGGTCTTCTCCACATCTTTGGACTTGAACACTTGAAAATAATATTATGTTTATAATTGTACTTAGCTAAAGGTTTAAAGTGACAATATTATTTCTTCCACTAGAAGTTTACTTCAGTATCACTTATGACTAAAAGAATCACTAATACTTAAACTTTATCAAAGAATTTATAAAACAGTAAAAGTAAAACATTTTAGAAAAAAAAAGGGTTGTTCAGTCTGTGAAAGAGAAAACACTTCTAAATTATTCCAGGTGTGCTACTAATTTGTACTGACTGATATGTTGAGTGGTTTAATAACTAGATAAATTGCTCATTAGCTCCGTCATATGGGAGGGGCATATCTGTTTGGTTCAATTGCATTGAGTGTGTATAGTGTGTTTTAATCATGCCTTTTCAATTAAAGATAACTTTTGTAAAGGGGTTATAGTAATCCTTCATGGTTTAGACCTAAAGATATACTAAAAATGGACATGTGAGTTATGGTTTAGTGTCCAATATAAAAGCAAATCTATAAAAAGTTCAAAATTCTTCATCAAGTAAATATCCTTCATGAAGAAGGTATACACATAGTCACCCTTCTCTGTCGGTTCTGAACCCTCAGGTTCAATGAACTCCAGAGCAAAAATATCATCTGTACTCAGTATGTACAGACCTGTTTTTCTTGTCCTGATTTCTAAAACAATACAGTGTAACAAGCATGTTACAGTTATTTGAATTGTATTAGATATTACAAGTAATCTAGAGATGAGTTAAAGTATATAAGAAGATAAATTATCAACAAATACTATGCTGTTCTATATAGGACCCTTGAGCAACTGGGTTTTGCTAACGCGTGGGTCCTGGAACCACCCGCAGTGGCTATGAAGAACTGTTGCATTTGATTATCATAGCAGTGCTGCAATGTTTCCACCCTGGTGATGGCTAACATTCTCACTCTATATTTTCATGTTTGGCTTGATGTGTCTCTGTGCAGTCCACCTCCTCAACTGAGCACTGGGGATGGAGTTCACTTGTTCCAGAGCTCTTCTAAGGACTCGCAGGCTAAGAAGTCAGAAACCAGAAAATAAGATGATGAATGAGTCCTCTACAGAATAGAGGACATCAATGTTACCTTCAGTGATAATACCTCTGTAGTGCTATTTCATTCACTCCAGAAGACGCATCCCCCTAGAAATATCACAGTGATTATATGCTGCTTATTTGCTCTCCTACTTTAGGGCAAAATGCAGTTCAGTTTCTCTGATTATAGTCTTGCAGAAACAAAGCTATATTGACCACAATTGTTAGCTATTAGCTGTTCAAATGTTGGATGCTTTCATAGGTTAACTGGTAATTGTTTTGATATCTTTGTAACCTGATTTATGCCATACTTGCAACCATTTAATCTGAGCTGTGAAATAATATAAAATTTAAAAAGAAGCTCTATGTATTAGAACAAATCATTAAGAATGTAGACTACTAACTGGAGGCATAATAGAAAGCTGTATTTATAATAACTGTGTTGTGAAGAACTTTTTTAGTTATAACAATTATCAATTTATCCCTGTTTTGCATATCATATTAGCAAAGCTACATTGCAAACTATGGTGCTACCTCTTTTAAAAAAACTATATTAGAAACATTTTTAAAATAATGTCATTATATTTGGGTCGAAGTGAAATGAATTTTTACACTAGGAAGCTTTATTAACAAAATTTAGATTCTCACTACTAGTTTTAATTCAGCAAATGAGAAGCTGCAGCTCATAATTAATTTCTATTGTTAGACCATAAATTTGATAATGAAGTAAGGAAGGTATTGTTAATTAGCAGACTAATAGAATTAAGTAAATTGACTAAAGATTTATAACATGT